TAGAGCTCTTCTGTGGTTTCTCAATGGTAAAGGATCTGGCTTCTTTTTGTCATTTATCTTTTCCTTTAAATCTTTATTTATTGTATATGTATGTATCTATGTGTGTATGTGTGGGTTTGTGTACATTCCATGCTGTACATGTAGAAGAAAAAGGACAACTTGGGGGAATCAGATCTCTCTCTCTACCATGTATGTCCCAGGGACCAAACTCAGGTTGTCACGCTTAGTGGCAGATGTCTTTGCCAGCTGAGCCATCTCACCAATCCCCTCTATTCCCTACCTCCATGTGCCTCTTTTAAAAGCGAGCTTTCTGCTGACTGTTCTGAGTACAGATGTCAGTTTCATCTAAGTGTAATCATTATGGAGTTGGAATTATCATGGTGAAATACAGAATGGATATATTATGTTACGGACTTTTTCTCTTTGATTATTGTGCAAGTTATATCAATATGCACATGATCTCAGATAAAATGACACTATCAATATGTCCTTAGCAATTTGCATAAAGCTATTTGTAATTTTCATGTTAACTTTTGACACTTTTTTCTCTCCAATAAACAAAAGTAGTGCCTGATGTTTAGTTACAGTAAAAGAAAAAAAGTCATTGCCTTGACTAATTTGGAAAGCACTCTTTAAGGCAAAAAGTTGGGCATACAACTTGACTACAAACTTCATGGCTAAGCACTCAAACTCTTTCCCTGGGATTGTTTGGTTCTTCTATGAGAACACCTCCTCCCATCATCTTCCCCTACTGCAGCTCCCAGAAACATCTCATTCCCTGTAACCCTACCGTGCACTTGGACACAGCCACCATAGCCCTGGTCCCAACACCCACTCTAGAATAGACTGTTTTCTCAAGCTTTCCCAGATGCTATCATCTCTAAAAGGGACAGAAAGGGTGAGGACAAAAAAGGGTTGAAGGGATGCCCTCAACAAGAGCACCCCACTTAATCCAGTAATCACGAGTCCAGTAGCTGATGCCGCCCCGCGCCATCCTTGTTATGAGCTTTAGCTCTGTGATGGTGAACACTGATCGTCAACTTGTCAGGATCTAAGATCACCTATGTGTCAAGGAGTAGGTACATCTGTGAGGGAGTTTCTAGATTGGGTAAACTGAGGTAGGAATTCCCATCCTGACTGTGTGTGGCACTGTCCTGCGGGCTAAATTAAAAGGGGAAAGCAAGGTGAGTACCACTTCCTTCTCTTTCTGCTTCCTGACTGCAATGAGCTGTGACCAGGCGCCTCAGGTCCCTGTCACCATGGCTTCCACCCCATAATGGGCTGTACCCTTAAACCATTACCCCAAAGTAAACGCTTCCTTCCTCAAGTTGTTTTTGTTACAGTTTGCCACAGTAATGAAAGAAACAATGAACACAGCTACCAAGCATTTCCTTTGCTTAATGTTCATAGCTATGGGAAAGCCAAAAGAACTCTTCAGTCACAATTCACATGCATAAAAATGAAATCCATTCAATAGCTAACATAGAGCTCATATTCCAGATTCAATGAGTGTATCAACATGGTCTGTTATAATTTCTTTTCTTTCTTTTTTCCGTTTTTGTTGTTGTTGTTGTTGTTGTTTTTGTTTTTTTCAGCTTTTTTGTTTTTGTTTTTGTTTGTTCTGTTTTTTTTGAGACAGGGTTTCTCTGTAGCTTTAGAGCCTGTCCTGGAACTCACTTTGTAAACCAGGCTGCCCTCAAATTTACAGTGTTCCACCTGCCTCTGCCTCCTGAGTGCTGGGATCAAAGGCATGCGTCACCACACCTGGCTCTGTTACAATTTCTTTGGTCCAAGATCTAACCAAGTCCACCCTGTCTAACTTACCTATAATAGAAGCTCACCTTGTTTTTAATACCATCAAATTCACATTGAGGGATCCAGGCCAATTGTTCTGTAGAATTGTCCTCCATTTTGGACCTTTCTGTTTCCTTATTATTAATTCAGTTACACAATTCAGCCTGAAGATTACCCAGGTCTTGTGTGTGCTTCTTAATCACATCACTTCCAGAAGTCCCCTAACAGAAGACTGTCATCTGCTGGTAATGCTGGGTTGGGTTACCAGGTTGAAATTTTACTCTACTTTAAGGTTCACTGTTCCTTTACATGCTATACTTTAAGACCATGTGAATATCCTATTCAGTGACAATGTTTAAATAACTAGTTTCTTAACCATTGATAAGCCTATCTGGAAATTCCAAAACAGATTTTCTAAAATAGTTAATGTTCTAGAACAAGCTCCCCTTCCCTCTCAGGTTACCACTAGTGATGTGCACTTTTTATTATTATTCAATATATCTTAATCCATTGTAGGTTGAGTGTCCTTTATCTCAAAAATGCTTAGCCCCAGAAGAGCTTCAGATGTTGGAGTTGTTTATGGTTGTTTGGGGATATATGTACAAATTTTACCAGTTAGACATGTCTATCCACTAAAATTCAAAATCCAAAATGTTCCAAAATCCAACCCTTTCCGAGGCTCATAGTTGGGGCTATTTAGCTGACATACATCTTCAGTGCCAGCACTCAGGAGACAGAGGCAGGTGGCTTTCTGTGAGTTCAAGTCCAGCCTGGGCTACAGAGTGAGTTTCAGGACAGTTGGGACTGTTACACAGAGAAACCCTGTCTCAAAATAAATAAATAAATAAATAAATAAATAAATAAATAAATAGAGCTATTTAACTGTACTGATCTTAATCATTGTGGTGTTCAAGCTAAGTCCAATTTAGCCAGAAAGAGCTGTCAGGGCTGGAGAGATGGCCCCGTGGTTAAGAGCAACTTCTGCTCTTCCAGAGGAGTAAGGTTAGATTCCCAACATCCATGTAACAGTTCACAACCATTTGTAACTCCAGTTCCAGGGATCTGATGCCCTCTTCTGACCTCCATGGACATTAAATGCATGTGGTACACAGATACACACACAGGCAAAACACATATACACATAAAGTGAAAGTAAATCTTTAATAAAAAATAAAATAAAATCATCTCCTTGGGCCTTGGCTAGGACCTCACTGGTGCTGCTTGAATTCCCAGAACCAGGTCTACCTTGTGCTTCCCACCTCCTGGAACCAGCATTCTTCCCAGTGCTGTTGGTGAGATACTTCCTCCCCCTTTGAAGCAGGTCAGAGGTTACATCCTCTCATGGCTCTCTGGCCAGAACTTCACCTTCCTCCTCACTATTTCCTCTGACCATCATTTGCTGTTTGCATCATCACTGGTCACTTGTTGACTTTGGTAGAAAGTGAAGAAGAGGGAGCTGGGAGGATGGCTCAGTTAGCAAAGGGCTTGCTCTACAATCATGAGGACCTCAGTTGGGATCAGCATTCACATTAAGAAACAAAACGGGGGTGAATGGGTGAAGAGCAGCAAATCCCTGGAGCTCCACAGCAAATTGGTAAGCTTTGCATCCAGACAGACCCCATCTCAAGAAATAAGAGCAGGCACAGTAGTGCATGTCTGTAATCCCAATCCTCAGGAGCCAGAGGCAGGCAGATCTCTTTGAGTTTGAGGCCAGGATGTTCTACACTGAGTTCCAGGACAGTCAGAAATACCTAGAGAGACCCTATCTGAAAAAGGAAAAAATATGCTAAGGAAATGGCTCCGTGGTATAAGAGCACTTGTTGTTTTTGCAGAGGACCAGATGCAGTTCCCAGCACCCACATGGGGGCTCACAACCATCCATAACTTCAGTTCCAAAGGATCTAACATCCTCTTCTGACTTCTGAGGGCATCACGCACATGCGTTGCCCATACATACACGCAGACAAAACACTCATACATGTAAAACACTCATGCCCGTAAAATAAAATTTGAAAATTTTGAAAGAGAGAGAGAGAGAGAGAGAGAGAGAGAGAGAGAGAGAGAGAAGAAATAAGGTGGAAAGCAACTGAGGAAAATACCCAATGTCTGTCTCTGGCCTCCACTGGCTCATGTAGACATACATGACCACACATGCACACACACACAGTTGGGAGAAGAGTGCCACGGGACAGGAGAGACAGATACAATACTCTCCCCAGTCTACAGGAAGCTTCCTTGTTTATGGTTCATTGTAATATTGGTTAACTCAGAAGTGGAGCTAGAATGTCAAGAAGTCTCATGATTCTACCCATGAAATGTATAACCTATTATTTCACCCTTTGTGCATGTAAAATACCCACCATAAGAAGGACTGCTGAGTGTCTGGCATGCCTATCCCTTTCTCTCCAGAAAGTACATCATTGTTTTGCTTGCTTTCATTCTCAGCCCACTAGAATATAACCTCCACGAGTGACAGCCATGCCTTGTTAATGGCTATGTTTACCACTGAAGTCCTAGTGGGTGAAATTTAGCAGGTGCGAGTCATGGCTTAGGAATGAGAAAATGGAACACAGGTGGAGAGGTAAGCAGGCCCTCCCATTTATTTGTTAGGCCTACACTTCTGCCACCTGCCAGTCACTTAGCGCCATCTCTATGTTCCCAGATAGGAACACATGGGACATGACAGCACCATTGTTTATTTATATACCTGTCCCACCTGAAAAACTGCAAGTCCCTCTAATGCAAGGTCATGGTTATCTGTACCGTGCCAGCATCACTTCAAAAATGACACAGAAATGTTTGTAGATTTCCTCTTGTATCCAGACAAGAGCATGCTCAGTAGCCTGCTGGGCTCTTCCTGCCAGCTGAAGCCAGGCCTCTAGCCTGTTGCTCCAGTCCCAGAAACTCACAAAAGGCCCTTTGACTCTACCGCACAGGTCATTCCAGGAAAAAACACCTTCTCAGCCACAGCACCTGTCACTAAGTCCAGTGTTCCCATAGCTGGAGGCTCTTCAGAGCCACAATGTTCCCCAGGAAACAAGGGCTGGGCACAAGACTGCAGAGGCAGCTGGGAGAGCTATATGGAAGGCTGGGGCCTTTTCTTCAGCAGTGACCAACGCATAACTTGGAGAGCAGCCTGGGTGAGGGATGGAAAACACATTAACACAGAAGACCAGCCACAGGCCCTGGCCTCCCAGAAGGCTCACCTGATCTTTCCTCTCAATCTTCTTTTCTGTTTGCTGGGGCACTGGACTCTCAGGAGGCACGGTCAGCCGTAGTCTGCAGACATTTGCCTAAAAGAGGTGGAGGACAGTCCAATTAGGATGAGTGTTGAGGCAGAAGGAGCCAGGGGCCCCGGGCTTTCTCTCTGCCTATCCACACTAATGGGCTCATCATACCACACTGATCATACTGGAAGGAGGCTAAGAATGAGACCAGCATGGCCTAGCACAGGTGCCCACCAATACCATCTACCAGCAGCCTGCTGCCCAAACGAGGAGATGTTAAATACCTTCAGAGGTCTCAGACTTTTTTTTCCCCACGTCAGGGTTTCTCTGTGTAGCTTTGTAGACCAGGCTGGCCTCAAACTCACAGAGATCCGTCTGCCTCTGCCACCCAAGTGCTGGGATTAAAGGCATGGGCCACCACCAACTGGCAGGTTTCAAACATTTTTAAATGGCTCAAGTTTCATAACAATATGCCTAAAATGAGATCATTTCACTGACAAAGGCCAAATTTCCACTAGAGAGATAGAAGCCAAATTACATAATATAGTCACCTCTTGTCTGAAGTCTAAGATTTCCAGTGATGGGGTAGGAGGTATGTTCTATTTTTCTAGCCTGTGTGTTTTAACTTTCTACAACAAACTTGGAAATGTTAAAGACAAGGCTTTTATTTTATATGTTGGGTGTGCATGCCACAGCATGCAGGTGGCAGGGCAAAGGGCAACTCTGTGGGAATCAGTGTTCTCCTTTCACCTTTATGTGGGTCCTGGAGGCCACACTCAGGTCAGGTTTGCATGGCAAGGAGCCTTTCCCTGCTGAGCCATCTCACCAGCCCAATCACAACTCCCATAAAGTTTCTTTAATTGCATTCATATTCATTATTCACAGTAGGTAGAACTGACTTAAAGGTCCTTTGTCAGATAGAGGAGCCCAATATATGCATACAGTAGAATTCTTCCCAGCTTTAAAAAGGAAGGTAGTTAGTTCTGCCATAGTGAGACATGGATGTACCATGATGACACACTACCTGAAAGAAGCCAACTACATAAGAGCAAAGCAACCTTCTATACGATGTCACACTCATCCAGAGGAGGAGTGGAAGGTGCTGCCAGGAACTAATGAGACAGAGAAGGGGGAGTTAGCATTTACTGGGTCCAGAGTTTCAGTTTGAGAAGATGGGAGAATTGAGAGTGGTGGCGGGCCACAGTACTGTAGATGCACTCAAAGCCATCAACCTGTGCACTTAGAAACAGCTAAGGTGACAAATGTAATGTTTTAAATATTTTAGAATTGAAAGAAGAAGAGAAAAAGCCAAAGCTGCTCATGTTTGCTGAAAATTCAAAGAGGTCTTTACAGAAAAGGCCGGGGACCAAGAGCATAATTGCCAAGGTGATAGCATCTGGCAGTTTCATTAGCTACACCGTGAGCACCTGTCAAAGACCTCTGTGCTCCTGTCAGGTTATCAAAGGCTGTGAATAAAGTTCATCGAAATTTTGCAATAAAGGCAAGGAATAAACACACCTTTAATCCCAGCACTCAGGACGCAGAAGCAGGTGGATCTCTGTGAGTTCAAGGCCAGCCTGGTTTACAGAGCAAGTTCCAGGACAGCGGGAGCTACAAAGTGAGACCCTACCTTGAAAACAAGCAAAATATAACATATACATATATGCACACACATACATACATACATAAAGTCCACAAGCAGTGGGCTATGCATTCACAGTACTTGCTGTGTGCCAGGTACCAGCAAGGTGACCCTAAATTCATTCAATATTGAACACAATCTTATAGGAAAGGTCCTCTTACCAGGCCTACTGAGTGATTAGGAAGTTGTCTCTGGCAAGGGGGTGTGGAGGTCTCACACTAGGCTATAGCAGAGCTACGATTTGAACCTGGGCAGTCTGCAGAGCCTGTGTTCTTTACCTTCGCATTCTCTGCCACGACAATCTTGAAACACCATATGGGCCTGACTCATGTGAGGACTGTATGTCCCCTATTATACATGAAGCTGTGCCCCACTATAATTCAATGTATGTCCTAACTTCTAGTACCTCAGAATATGGTCTTACGTAAGTATAGGGCAGTGGTTCTCAACCATTCTAATGCTGTGACCCTTTGATACAGTTCCTCATGTTGTGGGGACCCCCAAACATAAAATGATTTCCGCTGCTATTTCATAACTGTAATTTGGCTCCTGTTATAAATCATAATGTATGGCTGGAGAGATGGCTCAGTGGTTAAGAGCACTGACTGCTCTTCCAGAGGTCCTGAGTTAAATTCCCAGCAACCACATGGTGGCTCACAACCATCTGTAATGAGATCTGATGACTTCTTCTGCCCTGCAGGCAACATGCAGGCAGAACACTGTATACATGATAAATAAATAAATCTTAAAAAAATATATAAATCATAATGTAAGTATTTTTGGAGATAGAGGTTCGAGAAAAGAGTTGGTGAACCACAAGTTGAGAAATTCTGGTATAGCATATTTTGCTTTGTTTTGTCTGAGAGAGGGTCTCATATATCCTAGATTGGTCTGGAACTTGCTATGTAGCCAAGGATAACCTTGAACTTCAGATCTTCCTGCCTCCACCTACCAAGTGCAGGTCTTCTGGGGCATGCACCATCATGCCTGGTTTATGTGCTGGGAATGGAACCTAGGGCCTTGTGTATGTTATAGGCAAACTCTGTCAACTAAGCTACATAGCATCTTTACAGAGTCAATCAAATAAAAACTGACATCACAGGAGTAAGCCTTATCCAAAATTATTGGTAAATTCTTAAAAGTGGGAAGTTCAAAGACAGATGTACAAGGAGGATACCTCATGATCCTTAAAATGGTCATCTAACTTAGGTCTGGCAGTGCTGGTCCATAACCTCAGCTACTTGGGAGGTAGAGGCAAGAGTAGGGAAAGCTGAAGGACTGCTTAGTAACAACTTAGTGAGATCCTGTCTCAAAAAACTGCCATGCTGGGCATGGTGGCACATGCCTTCAATTCCAGCACCCACAGGGTAGGGATGGGGGAGTTTTGTGAGTTCAAGACCAGCCTGGTCTACATAGCAAATTGTAGGCCAACCAAGATTACATAATGAGACCATGTCTTAAAAAAACAAAACCAAAAAGTCATTGCCTGGCACGTACTAAGCCCTGGGTTTTGTGTACTATTATCTTCTCCTATAAAACATACGCTGAGGTTTCAAGGTACCTTTCCATCCTACTTTCTTCTGGGAAACCTTCACCACCCAGTGACCTCAGGATGGAGCTGGCCTGAAACCCAAGGCTATCTTTGTCCTGGCCACCTTTACAAGCAGCTTTCAATGTTCACAGTCAGACATGTTGGCCAAGAGGAACACAACCCATTCTACCAGGTACCTCTTTCCGGATGGGCAACAGCACTACTGGAAAACTGGGTGTTGCCTGTGGAGAAAAACAACCTTCTGACTACAGGCCACTCCACCCAGCTAAAACCAGGCTGGCATTTACTAACATTAAAGTGTAAGCCACACCAGGTGGATCATGCAAACCTATGATTCCAACATCGATCATTTCTGTCAGGCTGAAATGACCGAGGGCATATCTGTTGGTAGAAGAAAGGAGGTATGCTTCTACTGCACCACACCCCATACACACATGGGGATGCACACACATGTATATGTACTCACATGCACAAATGCATACATGCACACAAGCTCCAGCACACATCTACTAGCTAAGTGGCTTTGGGAAATTTGTTCTCTGAATTTCAAGAGTAAGATGAGATTAAATGGAAGGCATGCCTCTATAAATGGAGAGAGAGAGAGAGAGAGAGAGAGAGAGAGAGAGAGAGAGAGAGAGAGAGTCTACATATAAACACACATTTAGTTTGAAAGTATGGACACACACATGCCACAGCTATGTTAGCCCTGGCTACCATGTTTGAGGCAGAGCATCTTGGCTGTCTGCTGCAGCACACAGGCCTGTGAGCTTCCAGGGATTCTCCTGCCTCCACTTCCATCTCTTTGAAGGAGTGCTGAGATTACAATTTTTAAGTGGGTTCTAAGGGTTCAGACTCAGGTCCTCACACGTGCTCAGCAAGTGCTTTACTGGCTGAGTCACCTCCCCAGCCCTGTTAAAGTATTTTTATTATTATCCAGATACTATCGCTGTGCCCTCAACCTACACGCTCCAAAACAAAACAGGTCCACTTGGCTTCCTGACCCTTGTTTCCATGGAAACTAGTTGGGCAATGAGATTTGGCACATGAAGTGGTAAACAATGCCTTTTCACTGGCTGATGGATCCCAGAGGGGCATTCCCTAATAGCCATAGTTTTCAGGAAAAAAGACCTTCTGCATTAATTCATCCAAAGGTGAGATGGACCTTTCACCACTGCTGAACCCATTCTCCCCTGACTCTCCCGGAACTCTGACTGTCCTCCACACACTTCCCAAACACACCAGGTCATCAGACTGGGCTGTGAGCCATGCCCACCCTGAGGTCCACAAAGCCAACAGTAAACACAGTACATAAAAATGAAATGAGCCTGCAAAATCAAAGTTTTGGCTTCAGTTCCTGGGCAGTTGCAGCCGGTGCCTGGGGCTACAGCCTCAGGTCCTATCTGAAGCATCTGCTCTCATCAATAGAGGGCTTGATGGGAAAAACTATTCTTAATAGACACTGACCCACTGATGATCCACTGTCAACAGTACATAAGCAACTTAACCCCAGGATCAGGATCACACAGCTCCCTAGCAAGCATATGATCTCAGTGAAAAAAGAAAGACACAGAGCAAAATGTTAAGACTAATCCCATTTTTGCTTCCAAACACACTCTTTATAATTAATACAGATTTAAAGGAGGAGATACATCCTTAGGGAACCACAACTACTAATGCTGTTTATCTCCCCCCACCAAAAGAGGGGGGATTTCTGTGTTGCTTAAAACTGTTTCAAGTAGTTTTTAAACTAAAATAATAACAGGGGGCTGGAGTGGTGGCTCCATGATTAAAACCATTTTTCCCCAATCATGAAGACCAAAGTTCAGCTCCCAGCAGCCATGGAACAAGCTAAGCATCCTATCCACACATGTA